TCAGCCTATCTAGAGGTCTTTGTTTTAGGAAGGTCAGCTGTTCCTCATCTAGTAGCAATCAGTTGTCAATATCCTTTAGATAAGATTGGAGTCTGCTGTTCATTTTCCCAGTTCTATGCTGGGTTACTATCTGGGAGGAAAATATGATTTTTTTAAATAAAAAAGGACTTCTGCTCCAGTTCCACGGGAATCCAAAGCCACCTTCTGACCTCCACGGCATTGCACGACACGGGTGCACTCACATACATGCAGGCAGTACACTCATACACATAAAATAAGAATAAAAAAATTTTTTTAAAAGACTTCTGTCGTGAGTGGCACATGTCAAGCAACTTGATTGCTCTGTAGGTGGGATGGCTATCGAGAGACCAGAAGAGTGGTTTGGTTTTGGGGGTTTAGTTTCGTTGGTACACAGGCAGCTGGTGATCATTGGTCTACGAATCCTTGACACTATTCCAGGTAATAGCAGGGTCCACAACCAAAGCAGGACCAAGACAAACTTTTCTTTTGAAGACAGATTTACCGTATTCCTTGGGAAAGCTTTTTGGAAGTCATGATTCAAACTTTGTTTCCCACAAGTATATTATGTACAAATGCCACTTATTCCTAATTCTTAAATATATTCAATCAAGGTATTCATGTTAACACATGCTAAAACAAGTTTTATCTTAAAAGCATGTCAACTTTCTTAACCAACTGACAAAAGCTGATGCTTTTCTGAGCTAAATGGTAATGCTATCATGGTGAAAGGGCTATTTCTCAGTAGCTTCTTAGTGTTTACAGTTAGGTAAAGGGGTATCCAGTATCTCCAAGAGAAAGCTTTGCAGTCCCCAAGGCTTCTAGATAAGCACTAATACATTACAGAATTTCCCAAGTTTCCCTTCTGGAGATTGTGGAGTAGGTACGAGGGAGTGCAAACTCAAAATCTGTCAACAATGTATTTATCCTGTGATACAGAGTCAGCTTTCCTGACTCTGGAAATAGTGACATATGATACACATATGGCTCAATCTCAGATTGAAATTTTTCTGAAAAAAAATGTGTCTGTATTGTATACACCATTCCCTAAGCGGTCCGGTGGTATGGCTATTTACATTACGTTGGGTGTTGTAATATGGCTGTGATTTCAGATCTGTGGGAGGGTGTGCGTAAAGCCTTTCAGGAACACTACACTGGCATCGGATACAAGGTGTGGAGGACAGCCATGCCAGTAACATGGTTGAAACCTAGAAATGTGACCCTGGTGTTTGGAGTTGATTTTTGCACCACAAATTCAACAGGAGGCACTTGAATGAGTAATTAGACCCATACACCTGTCAAAGCTGCATTAAGAAAACTCAGAGTTCACTATCTGCATGGAGTGCCTGTTCTGGCCTTCCTCTGGCACAGGGGCTGAGAACTCAGCAGACTGCCTGAAAGTCCCAAAACCGCACCCCCCCACCTTTAGGGAATTTCCCAAATTTTGCTCTGAGGTCTGGCTAGTAGGGGTGCAAACCTAGAACAAAGCCTGAGTGCACCTGTCTGGAACCTGACTTGGGCTTCTGTGAGTGCTCCTAGGTAGCTGATCTGAAGCCATCAGTTCCCTCCAAAATAAAACCTGAGAGAACCTGAAACCTGGACCAACCAGCTTTACATAACCAATAAGAAAAGGACGAAGGCACACCAATAACACAAACAGCAGCAAACTTCAACTTAATTCTCACATCAAAATCACAACAAAAGAAATTCACATGCCAAATCACAATGAAAGAATAATAAAATGGAAAGTCAAAACACTATGTCCCCACCAAAAGAACAGTCACAAACATGGTCAAGGAATTCAATGACTTTAAAGAACACACGAACAAACAAAGAACTAAAAGAAGATGGTGGGGAGCTGGAGAGATGGCTCAGCAGTTAAGAGCACTGACTGCTCTTACAGAGGACCCGGGTTCGATTCCCAGCACCCACATGGCTATGAACCATCCTTAACTCCAGTTCCAGGGGAATCTGAAGCCCTCTTCTGACCTCCAAGGCATTGCACAACACAGATGCACTCACATACGTGCAAGAAATACACTCATACAAGTAAAATAAAAATAATAAAAATAAATTTTTTTTCTTGGTGAAGGCTCTACTCCTGGCTTTCAGGTGCCAGTTTCTTGCTGTCTTAGGCAGAAATGAAGAAGTGAAAAACTCGATAA